GAAAAGGCTCTATAATCTGTGGCACATAATAATAAATAGTTACTAAATAAATTAAATAGTTACTATTTAAATAGTTACTAAATAAAGGAGTTAATGCTTATTGCTTTTCAGAAGACACATGCAGGCAAGTCAGGAATCTGGTCTTCATAATGGCCACTTCTGCTCTACTTCTCAAAAGTACCCTGTAGCCCTGATATCAGGAGGCTGCCTTGGAAATGTGTGCTGGAATCTACAATAGGAGATGGCTGAAAGTATGAATGAGTCAGTACAGAATGGTCTCCGTTAACAGCATTAGTTAGTTTATCACATGCCTATACAGGCATACCTTGGCTATATTGCGGGTTCGGTTCCAGACCATTGCAATAAAGTGAGTATCTCAACAAAGTGAGTCACAGATGTTTTTACACATAAAAGTTATGTTTTACAAAATACTGTAGTCTATTAAGAGTGCAATAGTATGTCTAAAAAAAGCACAATTAAAAAATGTTTTATTACTAAAAAATGCTAACTTCTGAGCCTTTGGCGAATTGTAATCTTTTCGCTGGTGGATCTTGTCTTCAATTTGTTAAAAATGCAGTATCTGTAAAGTGCAGTAAAACAAGGTGTGCCTGTATGTGCCAGGTGATTTACAAACATCTCTAAATTGTCACAACCATCCTGTGTGGAAATGAGGGCTCTGAGACATTGTGATGTGACTTATGCAAAATCTCACAGCTTTTAAGGGATGGGCAGGATGTCAAGGCTAGCATTTGAACCAAAGTCTCTCTGACTCCAGAACAAGTTGAGAAGGTGATCTAGTGTGACCTCCTGCCTCACTGGCTGGTTGAGTGTGCCTGCCTGATGGCTACACTGAGGCCATCTTCTTCACTTAATTATTTCCTAAATAAAATGACTGGATCAAAGGGGATCCCACCAAGCTTTCCCAGACCAAGAACAACCATTTTTCAATGGTCATATAAGCAGCTCCTCTCCCAGCTAGTACCTTCAGATTCCAAACCCGTGTTCTTTTGACATCACCAAACTGCTTCTCAGCTCCTGGAAAACAGCTCAAAGCTTGAGTCAGATACTTCATGTGCTGTTCAAGGATCTCCCCTGAAACATTGTTATAATAATAAATTACAAACAACATGAATGCCTATCAAGAGCAGAGTGATTACAGTGCAACCATATGGACTACCATACCATGCAGCTCTTTAATAAATGTCTATATTGTTAGAGAAAAGGCAACGTACATACATTTGTGTTTGCATAGACAGAAAACTCATTGAAGGATATTCATTCAGCATATATTTAAGCATTTTAACGTATCCAAGAAATTTATTAGGTTACCTGTGAGGAGTGGGTCCGAAGGAAAAATAGTAACTAGTACCTACTTTTTGGTAAGCTTGTGTATATTTTTTTAAAAAACCATGGCTATTTTTTATAAAGTCAGGGTTTAAAAAAAGGAAGTTTGATAAAGTTTCTACTTTATCCAACAGGTACTTGACTGGAAAGGGACAGGACTATAAGGAACTTACCAGGAACTTAAAAATCACTGCAATTGTATGAGGATGGCAGGAGCATCCTATTTTTAGGGCAGGTGGGTACTCTAGAACTGGAAAAACGGGCTGATGATAAAGTAAATACCGCTTAGCCTCTAACGGCCCAGGTCCTCCTAACCACAAGGCTCTGAGCTGTGTATTTGTAGGTGGTGTGAAATCGAAGCCCGGGGAGCTAGTGCTTTCGGTCTCCGGGGTGCTTCTTACACACTGGGTCATTAATCTCCCCGGCTCGGCGTGAGGTTGGACGGGACTCTGAATGGAACTATCCTCCCCATTTTACCAAGAAGGCAATTCAGGCTCCAAGAGGTCACAGGGCTAGGACGTGATTTTGACCCAGCGCTGACCTCAAAGGCCACACTCCTAACTCGCCAAGCTCCGGCAGCCGATTATCGTTCTGTAAAACTCGGCAGACACCAGCCGACTCAGCGACCGGTCCAGAGGTCCGGGACACCAAGAGGGGCCAGAGCCAGCATCCCGGGGGCGGTGTCGATGCAGAAAGGGGGCGGAGTGTCCGCGTACCCGGTCTCCAGGAACCTGGAGCTCGGCGTAAGCCCCGCCCCACAGTCTCTGCGCGCCTGTCTTTTCCTCTCCGCATCGCTCGCAAGGCTTGAAGATAAAGGATCGAGACCGTCCCGGGCCACAGCCGGGATTCTCCAGCACTCTCGGCTTCTTTCAGTTAGGGTACGACAGCAGCCCCGCTCTCCGAGCCCTCAGGGCCGAGGGTGGCGGCGGCGATGTTCACCAAGAAGACACTGGGCAGGAAGGCCCGCGCCGGGGGGACTCTGACAGGGCGCACGCGTGGTGCGCGAGCGCGGAGAGGGCGCGGCTGGCTGCGG